TTTTCCTCTTGTAGTTGATGTGTTTCTCTCGGTTTTGGTTTGTTACCCGGATTTGTTTTCTTTCAATCGATTTATGACATTTGAACACCGGTATACTTCTGTTGCCTTTATTCTTTGCTATAACTTAATAAGTCTTTCTGTATACTATTTGATATCTACATGTCTCAATATTTGATACAATTTTGATCTGCACAGACATATACATGTTTCTAAAGTCGATACAATTCTGATCGTTATACACTGTACAAATACTTGCCTTTAAACACATTCATCTACATGTCTCTATATTTGATACTATTTTGATCTACACAGACATCCACATGTCTCTATATTCGATATAATTTAGATCGTGATACACTGTAAAGATACTTCTCTTTATACACAGACATCTACATGTTTCTGTATTCGATGTAATTTGGATCGTGATACAGTGTAAAGATACTTCCCTCTATACACATATATCTACATGTTTCTATACTCGATATGATTTTATCGAAATACAATGTAAAGACATTTACATGTTTCTATATTCGATATTATTTGGATCGAAATTCAATGTAAAGACATCTACATGTTTCTATATACGATATGTTTTGGATTGTTATACACTGTAAAGATACTTCCCTTTATACACAGACATCCACACATATATCTACATGTTTATATGTTTCTTGATTTAAAAGGGATTGTCTTCTTGACATATTCTCCACACCTCTTACTTTGTTGAACATAAAGTACAGTAAATGAATTTGTTCGCTTCTCATTTGGTGATGACCTCGAAGATTTAATGTTATTGTCTTCTTAAAGGTCATTTGTTTTCTGCAATGATTGAATTGGTTTACCTCTATTTATATCTCAGTAAGTGGCTTTCCAAAGCTATTTTGCCGAGAGAACATAATAAATATTATATGCATGTACAAAGGTATCACATGATCATGTTATGAATATTCTTCTGATTCAGGTTATATATAATACGCCAGAAACGCAATTTGTATATCAACCGTCAATTGTATAGGATCATATTGTAATGGTAATATTTTAACATTTCTGACAACTTTAGAAATGTTCAGAAAGTTCTGTTAGTATTTGATTTGGGGGTGGGGGTATATTGATAAGGTTATAATTACACATTACGACAATTTTGATAGTATTAGAATTAAATCTAATTACATTATTATAATAATTTGAAACAAGACTAAAATGTTTCTTTTTTTCTGCAATGACATGCTTTACAAATTCAGTTTTGAATGGTGCAAAAAGTTTGGACGTTACGTACTTTTTATGTTGTAGCTGTATGAAACCTCGTTCGATATTTAGAAACCGATATCAAGTATGGGATGGATAAATGTATAGACAAAAATTTATTAGCGAAGCTCAAGTCTAACTTTATGGAATGATCAGCAGAATAGGAACATCGATACTCGATTATAAGCTCCTAGATTTTGGACAGGCACATGACGAGAATGGCGGTGTTGACATTATTGTGAGCTGTCAACCTTATAACTTTACCTGGAAATGTAGTATAACACCTTAATTGAGTTTGTTATTTCAAGAATATATATGTTAGCGGCAATAAGTGAAATTTGGCATTAAGCTTAAATCCTAGGCAATAAGCTAACGCCTTGGCAGTAAGTATATTGCCTAACTAATGTTAGGCATTACTCTTAAATCCTAAAAATTATGTCCAGGCATTAAAATTTATGCCTGAAATGAAAATGAGAGTGAATAAAAAGAAACTTATTCAAAGTTGAAATACATTTTGTACATAAAATAATAGTAACAGAAGGTTGAATGTCCATTACATGAAATAAGATCATAAGTAAAATATTGATGTTAAAACTCATAGAATAAACTTCTTAAAATATATGTAAAGTTGTTGGATAGATGTTTCATTGGCAATCATACCACATCTCCTTATTTTTATATTGATAGAAAATTGTATTGAAATTTATTTTTTACCAATTGGTGCGGAACTATGGGATAGACTTTTTCACAGTTTTAACTTTTTCTAGCATTTGTACCTGGTGATCTACATGTGAAGAGCAGATTTTGAATTATTTTGTATATGAACGAATTTGATTCCAATTGACCACTGTTAATTCGTTATTCCTCATCCATGCAGTAAACATGTCATGAATATTTCCGTTTGACCACTAAAACTATCCTTTGATTTGGGATGTATTATCTTCCCATGAACAATAACTAGTCCTGGCCACATAAGCATAAATTCAGATATAACCTAAGTGGTATATTCACGACATTTGTCACTTTGCTGTTTATGTGGCAAACCAAATATTGTAAAAACATAAACTAAATTAGAAGCCACTTTTGAAGCACTTTTTGACGTAAGATTTCTAGTAATATACAAAGTATTTACTAGGTGATATGTACGCCTTAAGAAAATATAGTTTCATCTTATTTGATTTGAAATCGATTACATCAACCTGTCTTTTTCTGTAAAACTCTTTAGATAAAACGGGGTTTACTACTACTCACTTACCTATGCATAATTTATTATGTTACAATTTTCACAAAATGAAAGAAATAGTACAATGAAATCATGGAAAATATTTGCAAAGCCATTATTAGGTTGCTTTATTATTTGGTCTATAATAATAATAGGCCACTTTGACATATTTCTTTATGTGTTTTTCCCAAAATACAGTTCTTCTAGAAAAATATAAACTTTAGAATTTCCCTCGGCATTTTCTTTTACTTTAGTTACCAGTCTTTCAAACCTCAAATGGTAAAAAATGTCATACCATTTTAAATTGTAATAGTCTATAGCTGCTTTCTTTTCTGATTTTGAAAGTTTAATCTTTGCCAAATGATCATTGTACGTTTGCCTTGGGTATGGGATCTTTGTGTTTCCTGATTCAAATTTATACTCTGCAAAGATTCAATAAATTTGTTGTTGCTATAATTCAGATTAAGAAAAGATGGGTATCTACGAAAATTTACAAATCCAATTAAACAGATGGAAAGACTAGCAAAATTTCATATATTCAGTTGTCTATTTTTGACCAGCTCAAACCGGCTCGACCATTGAAGAGTGCATTTTCTTTGAATAATTTTCGGACAGATTTCTTGAATCACCCTTTTTCCATTAGATACAATTACTTGTTGAAAATCCATTATTTTTGCAATACTACAAAGGAATACGAGTAAGTTAACTTTCAGAAATTTAATTTTCAAAATATTATTCATCAAGAATATTTCACCGAATGTTCATGTATTTGGAAGATAACCAAATTTTTTTTTAAAGTAAACGTATTGCCTGAAATGATGTTGGGCAACAAGTTGAATAATATTCATCAGATTTCAGGAAATAAGCTTTTTACCTGAAAATTTTAGGCAATAACTTAATGCCTAGGCGTTAGCTTATTGCCTAGGAATTAAGCTTAATGCCTAATTTCACTTTTTGCCGCTAACATATATAAGTTGTACCAAATGCATAAATTTGATATAAATAAAACGAGTTAGCTTTAAAAAAATGAGACAGCAATCTAGCAACACAAAATGCATAAAAAGGATCAAACTATGAACCTTAGTGATAAACAAATTTCAAAAACATATAAGAACTGTCAATTATAGGCTAATTTTGAATTATATCATTCACGGATTTCCAAAGATCTATAATCTGAAAAAATCATTAGAAAAGCTACAACTACAAAGGTCGTTTCAGGTTTACACCTATGAATTAATTTTTTGACAGCCTCAATACCAATCAAAGAGTTTTCTGAATCGATCTTTATTGCACGTTATGATATGTGGATTTTGTTTTATTCCAGTGATTGCATAAAAAAAGGAGGGGATAAAAATAATGGTTTGGCTCGCGCCACATGTTGATAATTCATGACATTTTGCATATTGTTAATTATATTCGCTTCAACTTAATGTTTTCTTTTTGTAAAGAATTTAATCATTGATTGGAAACATATGGCATTCGTTGTTTAATTTATTAAATAGCTTGAAACAAAACTATAATTTTTCTTTTTCCTGCACATTAATGGTGTACAAATTCAGTTGTAAAAGTTGCACAAGTTTCCGACGTTTTGCACTACTCATATTGTAGCTGTATTAAACCTACTTCGATAGAAAAAAACTGGATATTAAGTATAAGGTGGATGAAGATATAGGCAACAGTAGTTTACCGATGCTCAAATGTGTAATGATTTATTATCAGCAGATTAGGAACTTCGATGTTCGATAACTAGCTTCTAGATTTTGGACAGGCACATAACAAATGCAGCTTGGGTGACATGATTATGAGCGCTCATACCTATACCTAAACCTAGGGAAGAAGTATAACACCTTTCTTTATCTTCATTTCAAGAAATATTTGATTTGATTGTAATTACCCTGTTAATGTCTTTAATTTTAGTTGTTATAAAGTTAAGAGCTTCTAATTTTCTGAATTCTTTTATCCGTTTTGGAATCGTTTTCAAACGCTTGCGCTGAAATATCGTATTAACTTGGAGATCAAAACTCCATTTACTCAAATTCCTATCTAAACTTGAGCACTGAAAACTTTTGTTTCTACCATTTTAATATTCACTAAACACTTAACATATAAGTCATCGTTAATTTCAAAAAGGCTTTGATATATTCTGTTTGGTCCCTTATAAAAATATGAAGATGTTGTATGATTGCCAAAGTGAGAACTCTACACCAGAGACTACATGAAGTAAAAGTTAGAAACTACAGGTCACCGTACAGCCTTTGGCAAATAGCAAAACCGATACCACGCAGCAAGCTTAAACATGTCCCAACATGACAAATGTGAAACTGCAAACCAAAAAACTCAAAGTCGAATTTAAGAACAAAAAGTTAACAATAATCGAAAATCGAATTTGACATACATCAACAAACGACAATCACTTAATTAAATGTTCCAGGCTTATCCATCCTCATTTCTTGATGTAACTATAAGAATGATAAAACAATAGGAAAGTGTTGATGTTACTGGGGCCTACTCCCATTGAGATATCATACATAAATAAGCCACGTAAATATTATTCATTTTCTAAATATTACATTGATAAGTATAAGTAAAACTGGTTTGACAAAGTAATATGTTGGAGCTGTTATGAATGACAAAATGTAACAGTTTCTTCCCTTTTTGTAACTGTTTCCAACCTTTATGTAACAGTTTTCTCCCTTGGTGTAACTGTTTATTCTCTTTAGTTGTGATTTTTTGTTACACTTCTCTACGTGGTATATTCGTTGCATTATTTACTCGTACCTTCTTGCAACATACCAAGTCTATTATCATAACGATGCTAGAAATTACAGCAATAAATTCACCTAGGACACATAAAATAAATGAGTAGCCTAGTTTGGACCATCTTCCAAGCCCTTCAGAAGCATAGACAATGAATAGTCCGATTGGTACAAGACTGTAAAAAACTGCAAGAAAAAAAGTAATTCAATAAATACGAAACTAACGAAAAGAAAAAAAAAATAACAAATTAAAACTCGAAACAAAACGATCGAATTTGACTTCCAGTATCACATGTTAAATGTATGAGCAAGCATTTAGTGTAATGCTAGTGTATAGGAGGTCAATTGTTGAAATGAATATAAAAACATTGGTATGCGTCAATGGGACAACGACCAAACGATACAAAAAACTAACGAAATATTTGAGCTAGGTCATATCTTATGGTGTGTTAATAGGATAGCACACAGAATAATCCTCTTGTGACAGGAAGGTGAATATCTATCTCTTTCACGGCTTTGTTTGCAAGATGAAATAGAGAATGGAAACGGGGAATTTGTCAAAGAGACAACAATCCGATCAAAAAGTCGAAAAAAGATGAACATGTTTTAATCGCAAAATTGTTTTCACTTCTAGAAAATCTGGAAGATCAGAAATAAAAACAAGAAAAACACAAAATTATCTAGTGAGAAGGTTATACCTTGGACATCGTGAAACTTAAACTTTTAAAAAATAAATTTATATTTGATTGATAATTTACAGTTCTTTAAACATTGAGCTGTTATGTAATGTAATGTCTGGTTTTTATGTGTGTTCTGCTATTAAAAGAAATTTTATCAAAGATGACAGGCTTATACTTTGGTACGTAAGACGAAAGTTTCGTGAATATAACACCATCAGTGACTCTCGAATCAAACTAATCGAAAGACAAAATCAAATACGCTATTAAAAAGCATTGAACACAAAATATTTTGAAAAATGTTCCTAATACGTTTACAGCTATCTATGCATCTTTATAAACTGTATTCACTTATTTTTGGAATTTATGATAAGATTATATTACAAAAACTTACCGAGAGCACACATAGTTACAATACCAATAATTTGCCATATTCCTTTCTCTTGGAAATAAAACAGCCTCAAACCAATGGATACCACACCAACTATGCCGTACACCAAAGCCATTATAGACATCGCTTGACAAACTTTCACATACGCTTTTAAAACGAGAGAGAGGATATAATTATTTAGACAATTTGATTTAAATTTTGCGGATTTGGTCCTCAACGTTATGTTTAAAAATCCTTCTGTTGTTACAGACTGTTGATGACTGAACTGCAGAATTTTGTTGGTCATTTAAGTCGTTCGATTTCTGTCTCAATGAATACCATAGATTATCCTTTCCTTAATGATACAAATGATTTATTTGCAAAATAGTAATTACATAAATCAAATTACGTACTAGTAAACTAAACTCAGTGGTATTGTATTGTTCTATTTTTTATATCTTTTCTTTTAATATTTACAGAGGGGCCTCGGTGGCCGAGTGGTCTATAACTTCAACAACTATATCACTAGCATGTCAACACTGAGGTTGTGATCTCGATTGTACTTGTCAATTGTACTGAAAGTGGAATTAAACACCAACTAAACAATCAATCAATCAATCAATCAAGTTGTACATTATTGTTCGGTAGTATTTGATTATCTTTCAATATTCATCTTAGATCTTTTGCTTGATTTTGATTTGAAGTTTTATCATTTCATGAACTCTTTTTTCCGAACAATATGTCTGTTTATAAAGCTTTTATAGCATGCAATACAAGAGACGCGTACCTTCTCGACGCAATAGATCTCGCTCCATTTCTTAGTTTAAGCAGTTCCCTTCGATGCTGTTTTATATCTTGATTCATACGCTTTAAATGCATTAACGAGATTTGAACAAAGGTTACTGTTAGTTTTATATAACCGGGAAGTTTGGCTAGCCATAAAACCAGGTTCAACCCACCATTTTTTCTTAAAATGTCCTGCACATAGTCAGGAATATGGCAGTTGTTATCAAATAGTCCGTTTCTATGTAGTATTTCAGTGTTTCTGTTGTTCCGTTGTTTTCACCTTATAGTTGATATGTTTCCCTCGGTTTTAGTTTGTTACCCGGATTTGTTTTCGCTTATTCGATTTATGACTATTAAACAGCAGTATACTACTGTTGCCTTTATTTATAGCTTGGTATCAGAGGTGAGTTTTGAATAAAGTTGATGCATTCGTTTCAATAATGCCTAAGTGAGAAAAAAAAATCATCGAAGATATCACGTGTACACCAGACGCTCTTGTCATCGACAAATGACTCATCAGTGATGCTCGACTAGATGACATACGAAGTTGTAGAGCATTATGAATTTCTGCAAATGTCTTTTTAATACCTTTCTGTTGTAATAAAACAAATAATTAACGTTCCGTAGGATTAACTTTCAACAGTGCTTTTTTAAGCCCTCAATCTTTAGCTTTTGTGGTTTTTTGTGTGTGTGTGTGTGGGGGGTTTGGTATAGAACCACTAATTCTGGTCCGGTCAGAAAGAATATACAAGAAAGAAGTACATATTTTAAACAAAATAGTTCCTATACATATCTGTATCTTTGTCAATAAGGGAAATATTTGAGTAGTTTTTGGTATCAAATGAAAGATTGTGGAATTGGGATCACTGGAGAACCCTTGTTGAAAGTTTCTTTTGAATAATAATAAAAGGCACATTTGCTCTATTGTTCATATCAGCAGTACCTCTTTTTTGTACTATCGAACTTCTGTGGTCCAGTACGCTCTAATATGCAATTAAAGGTATGTTGAATTTTTCAGCAAAAGTTAGGGTAAGGTATATTTTTTTCATGAAATGATTGTCACTTTATTTGAACTGAAGACAAAGTAGCCATTAATGCTTGAAATTGCAGATGTAACATAGAACGCAATGAGGCTATGAATTAGTGGTTTTATTCCTTTTTGTATAGTAATACGACATGTCTGTCTTTAAACTCAACTAGAATTATGTTTTCATGATGTTAAAATACAAGACAAATTGATTTGCAATTTACACTTTTTGTTATATTCCTGATTGTGTTTGACTAAATTCGGATTCAGATGGAGGGTAAGCCATGCAGTGCAATAGAAGCTCACCCTGCTAAAGAATCCAGTCTCTATCTATTTGGAGCTTATGCGATACCATCAGTTTTTGATTTGTATTTTTTTTTTATTGATAAATGAAATTTGAACATCTTTAAGGAACCGTTTATGTCAAATTAAGCAGCTCTTGTAACCATTTCAATCAAGTCAAACATGAATCTATTATTGTAAGGAACCGTTTATTTCTAATTAAGCAGCTCTTGTAACCATTTCAATCAAGTCAAACATGGATCTATTATTCATTTTTTTAAGTTTTAACAACCACAATCCTAGAAAAAAATTAAAAAGCTGAAAGCTTTTTCTTGTGGAAGTTTTGATTCGGAGTGTTTTAACAACCTGATATACATAATAAATACTTGGAAAATTTAATTTTTGTAGATATAAGATGTTTAATTGTTCGAAACATGTTGGTAAAATTTCGTAAGCTAGACTGGCGCTTCACCTACATAAGGTTCATCAGTTGCGCTCGAATCGATAAGAATAGATGGAACAACATGAGCGAAATCTCCAGCTCAAGTTAAAATTTGATGTAAGGTTTCCTAAAGAATCCTCTGTTTAATGAGTCTTTTTAGGCAAGTAAGAATCATACTGTGGTCCTGCGTAGTAAAAATCTTTGTTATAGATAAAACAGATATGATAGTCATTTACGAGTTGCAGGTTAAATTTTAAATATACTTTGGTCCTGCATGGATTTTATAGCGTTACTTTTAACTTCACAGGACTCATCATTGGCGATAGATCAAAACAGTTAGAATGCTGGAAGTATGAGGGCATAGAAAAAAACCCAATAATTTGTCGAATACTTACGTAAGTCCACTTCAATTTCTGTGTTTATGCATGTCGTTTTACCAGATACATTTTTGCAATACTTCCATAAGCCAGCATGGTGTATTCCAGTCGAATATTTTATTTCGATAAAATAAGGAGTTGCAAATGCAGTTACAAACATTAGGAATGCCACAAGCACCAAAAAAAAACCAAACAGTAACATTTTCTTGTTTTTTACCTTAATCATGTTTGGAAGCTGCAAAAAAAAAAAAATTCACTACAGGATTTTTTTTTCTTTTACGTTGCATCTTGAAAGATGAGATACAATGCTTTTGAAATAATTGAAAGGTCAACATGAGAAACGATTATTTTATCTATTATTTTAGGTCGTGTATATAAAAAAGGTGAAGGTGTTTTGCATTTTGATTATTTTATTCATTTTGCATGAATCTGTTTTTCATTTAAAGAAAATAGCAGTAAATAAATTTCGTTCGTCCGTAGCTCTTTTTCTAATTTACATTAATCACGGACTCAAAACCCGAGAAATTAAAAATCAGGAATAATAAATGCCTTACTGCGTCAGGATTCATATGACCAAAGGAAACCGTAAAAATACAGTAAACCCCATCTAAGGTAATTTTGTCCTGCAGGAAGTTCTTGATTTGACCTTTGCCGGTAGACTTTAAGTCCTAGGGAATATCATCAACTCAGTAGTCAGTTCTTCGGCTATGATTTTTAACATGTCTTAATTCCCAGTTGATGAATTGAAAATTAATCAAGAACTAAGGTTCTAACTTCCTGAGGCACAATTGACCTGGAAAATGAAATTAAAAAACTATGCAAGATTTAATTTCTTTTCGTCTTTGAGAAGATTTGTATGAATTCTGCTTCAGTTTTGTGCACAAACAAGTCGAGAAGTTAGGCCAGAACTAGTCTAAATGAGAAAATCGAGTGGCGGTTGATATATATATATATATATATATATATATATATATATATATATATATATATATATATATATTTTGCGTGCATAGGAAATGTATTCTATTATTCAAAATTTCATTTAGTCTGTGAAACGTTTGACATTACTTTCGTTGTGGTTTGCCATAGAATATGTCGATTTTTACTTATATTTGTTGAATAGTTATATTCTTCCTTAATGAGATTGTCAATGTTTCCCTACCGAAGGTCGGTGGTTCTCTCCGGATACTCTAGATTTCACCACCAATAGAAACTGACCACCACGGAATAGCCAACAGTCCTAAACACAAATCAATCAATCAATCAATCAATTTATCAATATTCCTTAATGGTGTCCTATAAAAGGGAGGCCATAATGTTCTAAAATGTTTCCTTAAAACATAATTTACATCCACCATATAACCGTGAATCCTTATTTTTGTCCAATATACTGACCATAAGTCTTATGTTCCCCTGGCACAGATGACGTAAGATAGATTTATTTATAACCTGAGGTTCTTCTCAACATTCAGCTCGTTGCGTGTTTTGGTACTTAAGCATTCGAAACTTTCAAATCTTTGAATTAATGGAAGTGCATCGGAATTGTTCTAAAGATGAATTTGATAAAAAAAGAACGTGTAGTAGTTATTCAAGTATTCAATGTGCTTATGTGAATTATCTTTAAATTAAAAAAGTACATGTAACGAGATTAGTCTTTGAATTTAAGGACGAATTAAAGAACATTTTTTCTCTGATTAATATATGATTTGAATAAAGTGTAATGACAAAAGAATCAGAAGCGAAATTTGTAACTTGCATTTACCTTTTGAACAAAAGTGTGCCTCAGATAATGATCCTTTGCGACAAAAATTTATATTCCAGCTTAACTTAACAGTTTGACATGAATAAGATATAAGTATACTATGGTTAGTAAATGCGTACTGTATTTCAGAAAAGATACCATCATATTATTCATAATTGTTATTTTACAATAATACAATACAGACAGTGATCAGATAATAAGAATTTAAATACTAACACATTGGCGAAGAACAGCTTCAAAGTAAGGGCTTTTGTGATATAGCAATCACTGCTTTTTGTTCTGCAGGTTAACACGTAGAAATTCGGGTTGAAGAGATGTCTGGAGATAAAACTGTATAAACATATCTATTATGGAAGTATTTTACCTATAAAGTGTTTGCAACGGTGATGTTACAAAATTTGAAACATTATTACTTTAATATTCAGTATCATAATTGAAATATATGCGTGTAAGATCGGTCAGATACCTATCGAACGTACATGCGTATGTTTTGTCGCTTAAACGAACTTTTCTTATACAACTTAATTTTTTATATGTTTTAAGAGGCATATCCAGTGTTCTGCAGATCAACACAGATGAATAGTTATGCTTTTAAAAATGTTCCGAGATAAAAAATAGTGAGCATATGCATCATAGATGTATTCGACATGTTTGTAATGTGAATGTTCTCTAATCCCATAACATTAAAGGTATGGATGGAGAGTTGTCTCATTGGCACTCATACCACATCTTCATATATCTATATAAATGTTATTGACCCAGATGCACATTTGGACACATGAGGTCTCTTCAGTGATGATGAAGGCCGAACTATTTGGATTTATCCTGCAATTGGGTGTCTTATCATACATTAACAGCCCAACAGATTTCGCTAGCCTGTATTTGTGTACTACAAAGACATCGCTTTAAAGCTACGCCCATTGCCGGACTTCTTTTGTGTTTTGCTGTTGACGAGTGTTGTATGAACTTTCGTGACCTCAGAATGAATATTGCAATCGCATTCAAATGACGTAACACACAAAATTAACCACGCAACAATGTAAATAATCAGTGAATGCACGGACAGTTCGAAATTCTGAAGCGTAGGACAAATCAAACACTTTTGTCTTAAATCGGACAATGTTTTGTTATTTCTTTTTACTGTTGAAATTGGTTGGTTTTTTTTTTAAATAACTATTAACTTTGAGCGATGTATTATAGCTGAGCATGCGAGATTTTTTCGGAGTACCGGTCATCAGCTGATTGTGTGTTTTTTTAAAAATATTACTACGCGGACCTCAAAGGAGTTTAAATCGAAAATATATGCAATAAATGTGAGTTTTTCTGTCTTTCAAAGAAAAATAAATGTAAAATTGCAGGATAAAAAAAATAACTGTTTAGTGTCTTTAAATATCAGCTGTATTTGTACTCGGCTCGAAAAAGGAATAAAAGCTCGCTGAAGCTCGCATTACATCTGTTTCTTAGCCTCGTACAAATACAGCGGATATTTAACGACACTAATATAAACAGTTATTGGCTATGTACCAAACCTAATACAGACGTTGAAGAGCTGCTAAAACCAAACAAGGGCAAAATGTAAAGCTTAACCGGACAAGTAATCGAAGCTAAGGACGAAGGAGATACATACCTTAATTTAAAAAAAAATCAAAATTGCATACATGTACCTGCAAATTTAAAGGGAACAATATCCGTATTTTCATGCCAGTACTGAAGTACTGACTACATGGCTTATGATAAACTCGGGGACTTAAATTCTACAAGCAAAGGTATCGACCCAGTGGCAGTGGGACTAATTGGGACTAATTAGCGTTTCGACAATCAATGTCTCTTCAGTGATGCTCGAGGTTAAACTAATTGAAAGTACAAAACTTAATACAAACTTTGAAGAGCTGATAAAACCACAACAATACCACAAGATTACATCCCAGCTCCTTTGTTCTACCAGGGGTGATCTGAGTCGGATCACCCCTACCAGATCACCCTAGCTTGAGTTTCTTTGTTCTGCATGCTTTCCTTTGTTCTGTAACATTTTGGCGGGAATGTCAAATTTATACTAAAACTTAGAAATATTTATACGGAAAAGACTAACTATCAGAGTTTATGTTGAAAAATTCAGTGTCTATGCTGGGAATCGAACGCAAGACCTTTACCATATAGACACACGAGTCATACCCCTACACCAGCACGACTGGATACAAATCAATGTTAATTTAACATATTTAAACATTGTGTCTGAGGCTCATAAAGGTATATACCATATAGTAATATATAAAGTAATTAATAATGATTGTGTGGCGTTCTTAACTAGATTTAATGAAGCATAAATGGTTTTTTTATCTAATCTAGAACAGATGGGATGTTAAACAATTATCCCATTCGGACTTGGTGTGTCAGTGTTAGATCACCCTCTGGCCTCCGCCCATCGAAATGATCTTACACTGACACACCGCGTCCTCATGGGATAACTATTACGGAATATCTATTCGCACATGTATACATGTACTTATTATTGTCAAAATGATAAGGTCTGTTTGTAAGTTCGTCTTTATTTTTAGGCGAGCAATTATCTTTTTCTTGTTGCTAGTTGTTGTCTTTTTCCTATGGCGAGCTGTTGTCTTTTTTTTGCGGCTAAATGCGTCTTTTTCATGTGGCAAGCACTTGTCTTTTTTCTTTTATGGCTACGCATATATAAATTTCATATTCTCTCCAACACACCATTTTGCACATTATTGTTTTACTCTTATTGTACTTAGGTATAATACATATCCCAGGAAAAACAATGGGATTTAACGATAACTGGTTGAATACATAACAAGCCAACAGCCTGCTTCGGACTCATGAATTTTCTAGAGTATTATTCTCATTCATTATCATTTGGTCGATACCACTGTCGATTGACTGGTAATCCACAAGTCTATCATCACATCAGTAGTAAGTTCTGTGGTACTGGAACAATTTACAGAATATTAGTCAAAGATTCCCCGTTTATAGGTTAAAAACGTCTTAGAAACTTAGGTTCCTACTGCCTCAGATACATGTGACCTTTAAATTTTGTAACTTTTTAGGTCCATTTGGGTCATACAGATCCTAACGTTTCTATGTATTTATACATCTTTTGCTTTCAAATGTTTGGGTTTAGCGTTTCATCTGTTAAAGAACTTTAAATTTCTGTGAAATATGTAGTATAGATACAATGCATATGCGTTGATTCTTGAAAAAGAACCACCATGAGCCCTTCGGGCTCGGGGATCTCAACGTCCCTTTTTGTTCAAAGCTCTTTTAACATCAATATTAACTTATCATTGAACGTTTACTATTAATAGAGCATTCGCATTATTCACGTTTCTGAACACGTGCACGGATTGACGTCTACGTATCGGGCATATTTGTATAAACTATTGATTTAGCCCGGACCTCAATTAAAAGTAAATTAGAATTAAATGCATTAAAAATATCTTCATCGGGACCAACTTGACTTAATTTATCTTTTCCTCATATACGTGTTATACGATACGTCGATACGGATACGCCAGCAAATACTTGAATACTGCAAATGCTCTACTTAAAGCCTTTTCTTAAGTAGAAGGTATTGTAAGTGAGTTTTAATAACCACGGTATCATGTTCAACGATGCATTAATAAATCTAAGTTTTTACACCCCAGTTCTATTGTTATACTTCATAGTTTCTATTTCTGAATCAAGTGTAAATTGAATAGATCTATTGTTATGAATAACAATAGATTTTACCACAGGGTGTGACGAGCGGGGTTTCTGGAAACCACTGCTTCTACATCCCGAAAACACAGTCCATTGTTATTCATAACAATAGAAATTGATTTTTTTTTCAAATAGCATAAACATAAGAAATTACTAATATTGTTCACTACAAGTTGTTTCAAGATATTAAGAAAACACATTTTAGGAAATTCCAATAGCGAAAAAAATATTAAGCATCTATTTTGAATAAAAGAAAAATCCTTTAAATACACCTTTGCTTGAAGGTTAAATTTTTAATCCCAGTCATATGTCTCTATTCTAAAGCATTGATCTAAAAAAAACGGGGATTCTAACTCCCGGACACCCCCCCCCCCCCCCCTGGATTGCCCCTTTTTGGGAGTTCCTAAATATTCAATCTCTATTTTTGTATGTTAGGCGTGTCCGGTCGTCGGGTTTCTCATCCAGACACACCTATCCCTCAGTATGTCCATATATGAATGTTGGTTTGTTCTTGAGAATAGAGGGGGGTTTATAAAACCGTAACATATAAAATACATATATGATTACCTTCATTAAATTGATACAGGTAAGTACTTTGGGTTATAATATTGCCTTACTCTTTAGTCTCTTCTACCAAATCAAACGCTTGACTCAAAATGTCGTCCGTCTTATACCCGTCCATATTGACAACTGCATATAAGGAGCATGATGTACTTTTTTGTAATAAGAATGCACAAAACAGATACCTTGACCTGTTGATTCATATTAGCACATGGATTTGGGTCAATATCCCTAATGCGCCTCAAAATGAGGAACTCAAAAGTTGTGTGTAAATAAAAAATTTCTGTGTAGTGATATTTGACACGTTTCTATGATAAACAAGTGACTGAGCTTAACCATTTGTGCTTATTTAGAAAGTAGGCGAACATAGAACAAATGTGTAAAAACTATGGAGCTATTAAATGTGTTCAAAGTATTAAATTTTGAAAGAACTTATTGTGTTAAAAAAGGGATTTTTTACCACGAGGAGCCGCATCACGAAAGGATTCTCGGGGTTTGCTAATTTACGGAAAAAGTAATCTCACTTCGTACCCCGAAAATTTAACCACATATGTGAAAATGTCTCAGCTTCGAAACGAGCCATCATACATATCCAAGTTAACGATATGGACTGAGCAACAGAAGAAAACGTTACCATTACCGCCTATGGAGAAACAATTGCGAACATTGACCCATTTAACGGGAATATGCAAAACAGCAAATTTGACATTTGTTAAATCTACTCACTTGTCAATGTTTGAACGAAGATAGCCAAAGTAAGGTTACTAGTGGGGTTTCATGTAAAAAAAAATCTTATAAATCATGGGTTGATATTGTCAATAAATATGCTATTCGTTTTTTTTTCATTTAA